GGAATATAGTATGTCAAAGTTTGAAGGGGCCTTAAAACACTGAATGTATGAACACAGAACCCAAAATGTTTGAACTTTGAAATACAGAATGTTATAACTTAAAGAGACCTTAGAACACAGAATGTTAGGAACAAAACGACTCTTAAGAGATTATTCGGTCTGGCTTCTTCATCATACATTCAAACTGGAGCTGAAGCAAATAATTTGCATAGGAGAATTTGAACCTAGACCTTCTGAGTCTCAATCCAAGTCTCCTTCCACTATATTATCAGTCAATCAAGTTTGCAATTATAAATTTATTGTTCAGTTGTGTCTGACTCTTTGTAACCCCATTTGGGGTTTTATTGGCAAAGATACAGGAGTGCTTTGCCATTTCCTTCTCCAGCTCATTTTACAGATGCTGAACTGAGGTAAATAGGGTTAAATGACTTGTTCAGAGTCACATAGCTAATAAGTGTCTCAGGCTGCATCTGAACTCAAGAAGATGAGTCTTCCTGACTCCAGGCCTGGCACTCTATCCACTAGGCCACCTAGCTGCCCCAAGTATTTATTAAGCACCTACCAAATATCTAGGATACAAAGACAAAAGTGAAGGGCCCTGCCCTCAAGGAATTTATATTCTAAATAGGAAAACATGTTGCTACACAGATATATACAAGATACATGTAAAGTAGACACAGGGTAACCTTGGAGGGAAAAGCAGCAGCAGCTGAGGGGACTGAAAGGCTTCCTGCAGAACACAGCCTTTGAGCTGGGGCTTGAAGGCAACCTTGGATTCCAGGAGCTGGAGGTGATAAGGGAAAAGTATTGCCAGGAGACAGCCAGTGCAAAGAAATGGAAACAGGAGATCCAGTGTCATGTGAGAGGAACAGCAGGGAGGCCAGTGTGGCTGAACTGTAGAGTGTGTGGGGAGATGTGGAGAGGAGGGTAGGAGATAATATTTAAGAAGTCCAGAAAGGTAGGATGAGATGTGATGAGTCTAAAATACCCAACAGAAGAATGTCTATTTGATCCTGGAGGTAAATGGGAAACACTGGAGTTAACTGAGTAGAGGGTGACATGGCTAGTATACTGTTTACTTATCCTATGTTCTAAAGTGTCTTTCAGCTCTAACACTGACTGCATTCCAAGGCCACTTCCACTATATTATTAGACTCTAAGAATCACAAATGATTGATGGCAAAGAATACAAAATGGTTCATGTCTTCTTACAGGCAAATAACTTCACTGGAGAGAAATAAAGAAATGGAGTGGGGCAGGGGAGAATGGCTTGGGGCAGCCTTGTTTCTGGTTGCTCCTCAGGGATTATTTTTTTAAACTCTCATTTTCAGTCATTTCCAAAGCTGACGGGACCACAGAGCTTCACAAACCACAGAGAGCATTCCAACCTCCTGTGCCTTTTCTTCTGGGAAGTTGGGCAAGAACCTTCCCAAACCTTTGCCAGTGAGGATCTCTGCCAGGGAGTGACTCACTCTACCCCTCCCCAGAGTTGTATTTTATTTGGGGGGAATGAAGACAGACTGTGCCATGATGGGGGAGGTGGAGTTTCCAGCAAACAGAGAAGAGCTGTGTATTTGGGGGGGGAAGGGTAATTTTTTTTTTAAGGGAATTAGGCTTTTTTTTTTTAAGATGACATGGAACACTTGCTTCACATTCTTTGGAATCAATCATTTGTGATTTAGAGAATCAAAGAATGTTAGAATAGAACGGCCCTTAGAATACAGAATGTTAGGACTTTTTTGTTTTGTTTTGTTTTTTTAAAGGACCTATGATCATGGTATATGAGAGATGGAAGAACTCTGAAGTTCATTTGGTCCAAAATGATTAATGAGGCAACTGAAGACCAGAAAGGGAAAATAACTTGATCATAGAATCATGGATATAGATCAGGAAGGGATCTTAGAGCTCATAGACTTCAGCCCACTTGTTTTATAGATGAGGAAACTAAGTCACAAAGAAGTTAAGTGATGTGCCCAGAGCTACACAGCTGGTAAGTATCTGAGATGGGATTTGAACCCAATTCATCCTGACTCTAAGTCCAGTGCCCCTACCCACTATATCCAGTGATCTGGGAATCTCTGGGAATCCCTGAAACCCTTTCGGGGGTCCACAAGGTCAAAACTATTTTCATAATACTAAAATGTTTTAATTTCTAATATGGTAAATATCTATAGCCATAAACCACATAAACAAAAACTCTGTGGGGTAGGTATGGTCATCAATAATTCTTAAGAGTACAAAGGGGTCCCGAGACAAAAAAGTTTGAGAATTAGTGTACAATATTGTGCTCAAGATCACAAAAGTATTAAGTAGCAAATCCAAGCACACTGACTACAAATCCAAGTCTCTTTCCCACCATGCCGTACAGCCAGTTTTACCAGGGGTTGAACTGCATACCCTCAGCTTCCTTAATTAGCCAAGACAGCATGCCTTCCCCAACTGATGATCCTAGACTTTAGAGCTGGTACCTTAGAAGCCATCTCCTATCCTAATCTTCTCACTCTTCAAAAAAGATAATTCAGGCCCTAGAAAGGGGAACTGACTCACCTAAGGTCACACAGGCAGTTACAAAGCCAGAGCTAGAACTCTTTATTCATGCTCTTTTGTGTATACCACGCTGCCTACAGTTGCTCTACAACAATAATTCTCCTTCCATTTGGAAAAATATTTTTTTAAAGAAGCCACAGTCATCCATCTAAGCATACTGTGGCCCCGTAAAGCAGTCCCATTTGTTTTTTAATTCAAGTATCACATTTGCATATGCAAAGCATCCCTCCTTCTCACAGCAAGCCCTCTGCCTGTCATTACTTCTTCTGCCCCTATCCCCAATTCTGGAAGAGTCCAATTTTGTTGTTTTTTGTTTTTAAAGAAAGCTGAAACATTCCACTGTACAAAAACACAGGCAAACCAGACAACAGGTCATCTTAAAAGCAACAAGAGATCTGTGAATAATAATAATATAACTTCAATAATTTAAGGCCCCATGATTTCATCAGTGTGGGCACTCCCTCAGCTAATGTAGATACAAATTTTACCCCTCAAAAGCAGATTTCAAAACTTGTTGGAATCAAAATACATCATCACCTGCTGGCCAACCTTCTGGCGGTTCTACCACTAAAGGAAGGGGACAATTCTATGGCACTTTGTAGAGTTTCTAATCTGTTATCCCATTTGGTCCTCACATTCCTATGAGGAACCTAGTAGAAGGATTATAATTCCCCATTTTGAAGACACTGAGGTGTCCTAAGTGACTTCCTCAAGGTAACAAAGTTAGTTAAGTGGCAGTGTTGGGACTTGAACCCTAAGTAATACCATGGGTACTGCTTCCCAAAAGTTGGACAACTAACTTATAGAATAGTTACCCAGTTTTTATGGCTCTACTTACAAGAAATGCATTCTGGTGTAATGAAAAGAGCCCTGGATTGGAGCCGGAAGATCTGGGTTCAAGGCCTGGCCCAGCCACTTACCAACTGTGCAACCTTGTTAAAAGAGGGAGCTGGTTAGACTAGATGATTGCTAAGTTCCCTTCCAATTCTAATATTCTATGTTCTAAAGCAATTCACATTTCTATAGCAAAGCAGCTTACAAAAGCACTTTCCTGACAACTCTGTTAACAGGCAGGGTGAGTTTTTGATGCCTATTTTACAATTATACAAATGCAGATCAGAGAAGCTTATACAGGTCAGGTTAAAGTTCCATACAAGTAAAGAAGACCCAGGGAGAGATAGTCTCTGCCTGAGCATGACACGACCAACAAACAAAGGGTCAAGGAAAAAAGGTCCACTAGGCCCCAGGTGATGACAGTAAACTGAGATGGAAGGGAAATAGACAGGTACCTGAGTATACATAAACCCATCTATATCTCTGTGTCTGTGCGTCCCAGTGTCTTTATTTGTGCATGTGTGCCTATGTCTCAACATGTTGTGTTTGTGTTCACCTGTGACCATCATGGTATATAGTTAGAGTCAAGAGCCATGGGTTCAAACCCCAGCTCTGACACCTACTAGTTGTGTTGTGACAATGGATAAAGTACTTCACCTCTCTGAATCAAATTTTCCACATCTGTAAAACGGGAATAAAAATACTCTCCCTACCTACGTCACAGACCTACTGTGAGGAAAGCACACTGAATTACAGCCCCAGAGAAAACAGAACCAGCTTTTATAACTATCTACCTGTGTGAATCTTAACACAGTGTTTGTCTCTAAGTAGTGTGGGTCTGTGTGTCCCTCCTGCCATGTCCCATAGTCCCCTCCAAAGTTTACTTTTCACCGTTGTTCTCTCATTTATGGAGGAAAACAAAAACCCAACCCCAACTTCTCTTTCTGGGAGCCTCCCCCCATCCAGCACACACGGCAATGGGGCTGTGCACAGGAAGAGGAATCTTGGACTCTGCTCGGCCCGGAGCAGCTGGGAGCTGTAGGCACTGAGGGAAACTGGCCAATGGCCAAGCCCCTTCCCGCCTGGATGGAGGGAATGGGGACAACACATGGACGCTGAGACCCGAACACAGTCGCAACGAAACACAGACGGATGCAGGCACACGCTGAGACACAGATACAAATAGGCACCGACCGACACAAATAGACACACAGTCAGACAACACACCAACAGACGGACAAACACCCACAAACAGACCCACCAACACACCGCCACGAACATGCACAAACCTACCCAGACACGCAGGAACACCCAGGCTCTGCCAGGGTCAAGTTCAGCCGCCCCTCTGCACCCCCCCCTCTGCCGCCCCGCCCCCGGGGCGCTGACCGCCCAGGCTCGGGGGGCTTGGGAGAGCTCAGGAGAGGGGCCTTGGGGGAGGGGGGTCCCGGGCGCTGAGCCCTGCGGGGAGGGGGTGAAATAGGGGAGGGGGCGCGGGGTTCTCCCGCTGCCCCAAGCCTGAGGCGTCTCCTCCGCCCCAGCTCCTTGGCCGGCCCCCAAGGACCCGGGGCTGCCCCTCCCCACTGCCTCCGCCAGTCTCCCCAAGCCCCCGGGGGCCTTACCGGCTCCTGCGGGCGAAGCGCGGCGCAGCCGGAGCCCCCGAGTCCCGGACGCAACTTATCCGCGCGGCCGCCACCACCAACTCCTCCGCCGCCGCCGCCGCCGGGGCCGCGCACGCGCGCCCCCGCCTCCCCCGCCGGGGCCGCGCCTGCCCCTCCGCGCGCTGTCTGCCACGCAGGCCTCCCGGGAGCGCGGCCCCGGGGCCCACGGGGACTGCAGGGGGCGGGGCTCCCCGCCCTCCCCGGGCGGTCCCCTGGGCCGCCCTTTGTCCCCTCCACTCCACCCTCCGCCTCCACAGGGGCCCCACCTTGCATCCCTTTCTTGCCAATAGCCCCTCTCCCTGTCCAGCCCAGGGAGGTCAGCGACCTTGAACCGGTCACTTCTGTTACCTGATCTGTGAAATGATAGGGCGTGCAAGATTCTCTTCTAACTAGCCAGGATTACTAGTTGTGTGGCCCTTGGGCAAGTCACGGAGCCAACTGGAGCCTCAATTTCTTGACCTATAAAATGGGGATAATAAGCTGGTGGAGTGGTTGTGAGGAAGGTAACTTTTTAAGTCCAGGGTAAAGATGAGCTATTTCGACTATATTCAAGGTCTCTTCCAGCAGCAACATTCCTCATGCTAAGATCCCTTCCAATTCTCTGTTCTACCTTCATACTTTTTATGGTCCTTTGGGAGGAGAGGTCACTGAAGTTCTATGATGCTGTGGGAGAGGGGGTTTCCGTAATCTACTCGAAACCTCCCCACACACCAACAATTCTATGAAATGAGTAAATTAGTAACTTGCACTAGGGTGCCATTTTCCCCAAAAAAGAAAAAGAAAAAAACAAATCCTAAGAAGATATTTATACATTTCTGCCCGCTATTCCCCTCAGTCTAGGAGGGAAACCGGGAAGAATCAACCTGGGCCTTTCTTACTTTTGTTTTTAACTCAGTGGGTTTTTTCCCCCAAGTCACAAAATGAGTCACAACGGAGCTTCTCTTTGCAATGTGGTGCTCAGAATTAGAACTGTAGTCCAACTACCATGGGAGGCTATAAGTTTTCCTCCTTCTATGTCTCTGTGTCAAGTATTTGAATGTGTCAGGGAGAAAGAGCTGACATTGTTCTCTCCTAAAGGTTTAAGGATTAGAGAAAGACTCATTATTTTATTATTTCATGCTTTGAAAGAACAGATAGAGGATGGATAAGGGAGATCATACAAGAGGTTCTCTCTCTCTCTCTCTATATATATGTATAATATTATATATAGACAATATATTATATATATATATATTTTATATATATATATAAGCTCCGGGGTAGTGGGATTTTCCTTGAGATCATATATGTTGCAGCAGCTGGGTGGTGCAGTAGATAGAGCACAGGCCCTGGAATCAGGAGGATCTGAGTTCAAATCCAGCCTCAGACATAATACTTCCTAGCTGTGTGACTCTGGGCAAGTCACTTAACCCCAATTGCCTAACTGAAAAAAATATATATATATAATATATATACACATATATATGTTAATAAAATTCCTGGGATCTCATTAAAGGCTCCTGCACTTACCACAGTGCCTAACAGGTTATAATGTTATTATTAATTAATTGACTTAGGTAGATAGTGTGGTGTTTTGTAAAGAGCTAGCTGTGATATATCAGAGGACTTAGGTTTGAATTCCAGCTTTGCTACTTTCTAGTTATGTGGCCTTTGAGAAAGTTACTTCTCTTCTCTGGGCATCAATGTCCTCACATCTGCAAAATGAAGATAATACTTTTGTACGCCTTGTCTGGCATCTCATAGCTAGCAAGCATTAGAGTAGGCCCTGAACCCAAGTCTCCTGATGGCACATTTAGAATTCTTTTCACCCTTGTAATCTTAAAGTGCTTAAGGAATCAGGCCATTTGGCTTTCTCCCTGCAGAAAAGGGCTGCAGAGAAAGGAGAACAAAAGAAGAAACAAATGTCTCCAGGGGAAAGCCTAGTTGGTCTCTGTCCTTTCTTTTGAGATTTGATTTGGGGTTTGGCATCATATTTTGTACTTGGGCCAGGTCAACCCACAAAATGAGTCTTCGAGAAACTTCAAATGAGATGTTGGGTGTTGGCATCCCTTTATCTCCTAAGAGAAACATTTGCATGAGAGTCACTTCTTGCTGTTCATGTATGAAACTGGCCCCGGATACAGTCATAATCATCATCATCAGGACCCGTCTGCTTGTCCACAGCAACCCTGTGATGATTTATTTCCATTTCGCAGATGAGAGACCAAAGGAACAGAGAGATAAAGTCATTTGTCCAAGGTCATAGAGCAGACAAAGGTCAGAGCCAAGACTCAAACCCATGCCTCTTGACTCCAAGCCCAGGGCAATTTCCATTATACCACACTCTGTCTCTGAGGGCTTAAAAAGGGTTCTCTTCTGGGCCTCAATGCCTGCACAGCATTGACTGTGCCAGGCAGCTCACTAGAGACAGTGATCGACAGAACAGATGGAAACTAAGAGGCCACCTGGTTTTAAAGCAAATTATATCACCAGTCCATCAATACAAAATCTAAAACATAAGGGAAATGCTTAGAACAAAACGATGTGAATCCCATTTATCTTTTTCCCCTCCCTCCTCTGGTTTGTCAGAGAATCAGGAGGATTTTCCACTGGCGAAGAGGCACGCTTGGCTCTTCCTTCACAAACCCAAGATCTAGACCTTCTTGAGGATTTGTTGACTTCCACACTAGGCCTACAATTCCATAGCTATTAGCATAGCAACCTTTCTTTGTACTGCATAGCAGTAGCATACTAACAACAATGTCACCAGATCTCATCATCATTATCACCATAGTTAGCATTTATATAGAGCTTTAAGGTTTACAAAGTGCTTTTACACATATTATCTTATTCTAGCCTCACAACAACCCTGAGAAGTAGGTATGATTATTATCCCCATTTTACAGATGAGGAAACTAGGGCCAACTTGCCCAGATTCACACAGCTAGTAAGTGTCTGAGGCTGGATTTGAAATCAGGTCTTTCCTGATGCCAAGTCCACCACTCTATTCGATGTGATACCTAGCTGCCTATTGTTAGATTGTTAGGGCTCACAAAAACCAACAAAGCACATAGAATGTTAGGACAACAGAACCTAGAAAGTTAAAGTTGGAAGGGGCCTTGAAACACAGAACACAAAATGTTAGAACTGGAAAGGAGCTTAGAATGTTAGAGTATAAGAGTCAATAGGGACCTTGGAACGTAAAATGTTGGAACACAGAACACAGAATATTAGAGCTGGAAGGGACCAAAGAAAACATCTAATCCAAGTCCCTACATTTGATGGATGAGGAAAATGAGATTTAGAGTTGAAGCCACTTGTCCAAAGTCACTCAGTAAAAATTGCTAACTTTCCTCTCCCCTTCCTATTTCAGTGTTTGCTTGCAGACTCTGAAACCAGGGTAATGTAAGTACAAAGACCAAAACAACTACTAGGCCCAAGAAAGGAGGTTCCTTTGTCCCAGCTACTGCTACAGACTGCTTTTACAGGTGGGGTGTGATTCTTGTGAACGTATGGGACTTCCCCTCTGCCTCTGAACAAGTCAGAGTGAAGCTGATTAATGCCCAGAGTTAGTTACTGCCCAGGCCTACAATATGAGCACAGCTGGAAAGAAAATCAAATTTCTTCCAGATCAGATGACATTTTTTTGGGAAATGATCTTTATTTAGTCAATTCCTGTTTGGAGTCACTTTCACCATAAGCAATTCCCTCTTCTCCTAACCCAAAGTTAAAATGAGCCTTGGGAGAAGCACATTGAACAAAGAGGTCCATAGTCTACCATATCTGGGTGATTAGTTGTTGGATAATCAGTGACTGCACCCAAGGAAGATAAAGTCATAGATGGCTGATGAGGTAAGGGACTTACTTAGACCATAGGCTTAGAAGGCACTTTAGAACATAGCACGTTCAAATATAGAAGGTTAGGACTAGAAAGAATCTTGAAATATTGAGTGTTAGAGCGGGCAGAAACCTTAGAACATAGAATGCTAGAATTGGAAGATACCTTTAAAACACAGAATTTTACAATATTGAATATAGATTGATGGGACTGGCAGGGACCCTAGAAGATAGAGTATTAGAATATAGAATATTAGAGTTAGAAAAGATCTTCAAATATAGAATATTAGAGCTGGAAGAGACCTTAGAACATAAAATATTAGGACTTGAAGGAACCGTAGAACGTAAAATGTTAGGGCTAGAAGGAACATCCTCACCTAACATCATAGAATTTTATAATGGAAGAGATTTTTTATCAGAGAATATTAGAGAGAACTGGAAAGGGCCTTGAATCACAGAATTTTAGAACCTATGTTGTTAGTGCTACAAGCAATTAGAACTGTGTGGGACCTAGATCTGAAACCATATGAGTGCTCTTATGTGGTTAGAGTCTAAGATTTTTTTACCCAATGTTTTGTGCCTTCTTCCTTTTCTTTTTTTATTCACTCCATATAGTGAATTCTACCTGTTCTACAACTGAAGGGGCCTGGAATTGAACCACTAACATGAGGACAAAACATTCCTCGGCCCATAGGGTAATATTCTGGAAGGAGACCCCAAATAGCTTCTAGCAGTGGGGGGCAGTGGAAAAAGCACTAAGACCTAAGAATCAGGGGCCATGGATTCTAGTCCTGGTTCTACCACTTACTGCCTGTGTGACCACTGGCCAGTCATTTACTCTATCTGGGCCTCTGTTTACTCATTTGTAAAATGAGAGAATAATACAAAATGTTTTCCAATTCAATAGACATTAATCACTTCTAGCTCAAATAGAACTTTGGTATCCACAAATTGGAGAATATTCCCCAAATAACTTAGTGTGCTTTCATCTTTTTTTTTTTTTTTTGAGACTGAGTCTTCCTATCTCACCTAGACTAGAAGTGAATTGGCACTCACAGTTCCAACCCCGCTGCTGATGTGCAAATGAACTTTGATTTGCTCCATTTTCAACCTGGGCATCTTGGTGGTATAGGCCACTGCCAGAGGCTCACCATATTGGTGTCAGACTTTAACCCTACTTTAGCTCAGAACTCTCAAACTCAATTGATCCACCAGCCTCAGCCTC